ATAAATAATCTAGAAATAATTTAAATATTCACAAGGATGTTGTCTATATGCAGATAACATGCATTTTATATGCGGGACGTCAACATTCCCAGGTTTGGGTATCTGAGGGGGTCCAGGAAGCAATCTCCCGCAGATATAGTGGGGCTATACTGGATTAGATGATCCTTGAATAATTCTCAGCTTGGATATTCTAGGACCTTTTCTCCAGCCACCTGTTCCAATAATTCTCACTATCTTATCATGCCTTTGATCTGAAGCCTAAATCCCCACTGTGTGTTGACTCACCCATTTTTACGTGAAAATTTATCTCCTAGTGGCAGAGAGATGAACGCTGCATGGGTGTTGCGTGTGCACTGTGCGTGTTTGTGTGTGCACACGCGCTCTTGTGCTCAAAGGGAGCTGAGGATCTAACCCAGCAGAGGTTGCTGCTGAAGATTAGAAGCGCAAATGACAGATATGTGGCAATTCAGTGGTGCTCGAGCTGAGTGGAATCGTTCACATAGAGCAAGTTCCTTTGAACCCACCAGTGACAGGAGCCCAACCCCAAGCTGGGGAGACCTGGCTGGGGGCGGCTGGGTGGTACTGACCGGCACTCAGCTCTCCACCTGCGCCAGGGCTAAGCCCCAGAGCAAACAGAGAAGCCTGATCTAGCCCCAGGGCAAGGTAAGACCAAGGGGCAAAATGTCTCCAGAGATAACTCACTCTTTATTTTGCCTTTTTGAGAGTGAAATTAAATTAGAGGCCTTGTTACGAAGCAGTAAGTCATCCAGCAGCTTTGGGTCACAGAAGCTCAGTGCCTGGCTCGCATGCAGCCGCCTAGGGCTGAATGCTGTCGGAGGAGGTGATGGGTTAGCCTGGTGCCCCATTTGGCCCAGCCGCCCTCTTTCCAGGGGATCAGGGAGGGGAGGGCACGCAGCTCTGGGGCTGGAGGGGAAAGGCACTCGATGACCTGGTGAATGTATGGTTGGAGCGAGGCATGCAAGCAATAGGTTTTCCTGATTTTAAACTGAGGACAAACAGCAAGTAACAGGCACACCTGTTTGAGGCATCAATTCCTGCACCTTCCACCTCACCCTGGTCCTGCTGATGTAAGGGCAGCCATGCCCCAGTAGCTCCCAGTCAGCTGGCTCCTGCAAGGAGCACTGTCACGCATCGCTGAGCCCTGACTGTACTCAGCCTCATTCAATCCAGGACAGGTGACCTCAGGCCCTGAGGCCATGGAGGTAATTCAACAAGGCAGGCTTTTGGCCAGCAGCTAGGTCTAGGGGATGCCGATATGTGCCACCAGCACAGGAGAGAGGGAAAGGTTAGCAGAGCCAAATACCGGCTTGCCTTGGATGAGATGGGACACCTCAGAAAATGAACAGGTTCATGAGGATGGGAGGCAGGAGAGTGAAGATGATGAGTTCATGGTAATTCCTGCTTTAAGAATAATAGTCACCACTAAGCAAAGGCCTGCTATTTGCCGGTCACCTATGCAGGAAACTTCGTGTATGCTATATCCAAACTATAGAATGGAGGTTGGGTTGTTATTCCCATTTTACAGATAGGAAATTGAAGCTCAGAGAAATTAGGTGACTTTTCTGCAGATCACATTTGGTAAGAGGAGGGATGTTTTCCATGCAGGAGTTAAGAACAGAGCCTGGGGTCAAATTCTGACTCCACAGCTTGCTGGCTATGTGATCCTGGGTGAGAAAGTACCTATTATCTTTATGCCTGAGTTTCATTAGCCCTAAAGTAAAGATACTACCTGCCTCATAGGTTCTTTCTCAGGCTACATGGAAAGGGATCTTTAAGCAGTTACACGGTGCCTAGCACAGGGCAAACACGCAGTACAGTAAAATCCTGTTATCCTGGTGACCTGGCGCCTCCACGTTCAAAACCAGAGTTTAAACTTGACCCACTCTTCGGTCAGTAAGCCCACACTGCAGGCATCATTCCCCGGGCTCCCATGGTTTCTCTGTAACAGTTCTGAGTGTTCATGTGTGCTACCTGAAGTTAAAAAAACATGGTAGTGAAGTGGAAAAGTGTACTGACTGTCATTTAACCAAAACTGTACCCTGCATTTACAAAGCTGTTTTATTAGAAGTAAAACTGTTACTATAAGTGAAGTTTGTCTTTCTTCATCTTAATTTGCTTTTAATTCATGTATTTCAATATTAATATCAAGTCAGTACAGAATTTATGGTGTACTGTGGGGTGTAGAATTAGGCCTATTTTAAATAGTAACTCTCAAATAACCAGAAACTACATTTATCCAGAATATACCTTTGCCCTGGGTGCTGGATAATGGGGAGATTAGTGTAATCAGTGAGTTTTCAACCAGATGCCGTGAGAGGACCTTACGTGTGCCTTGAAAAATTTTAAAGATTAATTATTTTGGAAAGAAGTTCAAAGCACAGGAAGTATATTCTTTCTTTACTCTTTTTTGAACAACATAATGTAAGTGTGCTGTGAAGTTTAACTACAGGTCCAAGTGTGCCGTGAGATGAAAAGGTTGGAAAACGCCATTGTCGATTTTCTCGTTCTCTCCAGGACTGTGGGACACCGGCCTGTGAGGACCAGGAGCCTCTCACAGTGGGACAGTGAGTCAGTTCTAAATAGGTTTTCTTTCCCTCCGATTATTCTCTCCTCTTTCTGGGGCCTGTGGGAAGCCCTTATTTTCAAGGTATTTAGAAAATGAGACCCTGTGCTAAAAAAAAAAAAAAAAAAAGTCACATGGCATTCAATGTCTTCTGGCCTCAGAATACTTCCTGGTCCAGCCATCCTTCCCCCAGCTTTCCCAAACCAGCAGCTCTTGTTCTAACCGAGCTTCTGTCGCACCCCTGACCTTCTGCAGTATCTCAACCCCTTCCTATTGTTTCCTCCTGACAATACACCTCGGTCCACCTGGCTGCCCATGAGAGCTGCCGTCCCCATGTCATCTATGAGGCAGTGGACTGCTGCTGACTGTGTTGCTTACCACCTTTGCTGTGGCTTCAGGATGGTGATCAGGTTCCATTTTTGCCATAATCCTCTTTAGGATACATAATCCCAGCTCCTTTGCCCAGTGGACCAGCAGCCTCTACTTTTCTAGAATAATTTCCCCTGGGGATGGCAAGGGTGGTGCCAGTGGCTCCTAGGACCGGGAGATGAGGCCCTTCTTAAACATGTCATTTTCCATGCTGGTGACCTGTGTTAGGGGTAACAAGACTTGGGGGGGGGGGCTCCACGCTGCAGATGGTGAACACGAGCTGTGAAATGTCTCTCCCCTCCTGCAAGGAGGTAGCACCTCAAGTGCAGCAGAACCCCCCTCCCAGGCGGAGAAAATTGCTGTTCCCAGCAGGTACTTTAGAGCAAAGATAACAATATAATCCTACATCCTCCGGTGTTTGGGGAAGAGATTCCACTTATAATAACCATTTTCAAGAGCCGGGGGGAGTGCATCCTGAGTGGTGGGGTATCTAAACTTCAAACCAAAGGAGACAAGCCTGGGTATCTACACAGGCAGACTTTCCATTTTTAAAGCTCCACTCACTTCTCTCTGAAAACAGCACATCTTACAGCCTCTAATTTTCTTCTCTGTGCTCTGTCTAGAATCAAGTCATTCTCCCTTCACGATCCAGTGGCCTCTCAAAGGGTGTTTGTTTGCATGAGACAAAGTGGGCAGGTCCTGGTGACAGTGGCCTGTCACTTGCTTGCCACCCAGAGCACTCTACTGAGTTCACTGCAGCCACATACCGCGCACTGGTCCCAGCATGAGGGGCTCAGGGCTACTGATGCTCTTCCAGCCCCACAAAGTGCCACTTATTTACCTGGGTTGCATGAACAAAGTTCTTAATTTAAGCCGATAGCGATCTCATGGTGAAGAACCGTTTCTTTGGGTGTGTTGAATAAAATCTCCCTAGAGGAGGAGGATTTCCTGTCCTTCACGCTTCAGAGAATGTTTGGCTTTGAGTCCTTAAAGGACATCAGCTTTACATTTCCCAGACCCCTCCGACTTAACCTAACTGATGTCACGACCAACCCTCTCAATCCCAAGATCAAGCTTATAATCCCCTCATATTTGTGTCACACTTTACAATTCCTGAAGTGCCTTCACTTCTAAAACCTGGTTTAACCCTCCCAGCGATGTAGGAGGTAGATTGGACAGGTATTCTAATTCTCCAGAAGCCGTAGCTAACGGTCATAGAGGTTCAGCAACTTGCCCAAAGTCACACAGCTGGCAACTAGCAGGGCAAGACCAAAAGTCTTTGCATCTTTGGTCTTAGAATCCCGGCATTCGTTGTACCCTGCAGATCCTCCCTCCTACCCTAAAATGATCAAGCTACTGTAATGAGAAGCCAAACAACAGTGTCACTTATTGGACGTTTTGCTTGGGGACTTGGAGTCCACATGTGACCCTGGGGTAACTAGAAGGAAGCAGTGCCTTTAGAGATGGGTGAGAGTGTGAGGTGGGTCCTCAGTAAGGATTCACTGCAGAAATAGAACCCCCTGCTCTGGCTCCCTAAGTAGAGAACAGTTTTAACAATGGGACTTACACCACCAGGCATCAGGAGGGACCTCCAGGAATGACTTCCAGGACTGCACAGAGCTCCCTGCCCACCACTCACCCTCACTGAACTCAAGAGCCCGTGCCACAGCTGCAGGCCAGGCTTCAGGAAGCTGCCGTCACCACTGATGCCACTGTAATTCTCGGCACTCCACAGCTGGGACGTGGTGCTGAAACGCTGCTGCCAAAGAACCTCATGTTTCTAGCCCGTGGCCAGCAGAAAACAGCAACAGAGGCAGGAAGAGGCATTAGACTGGCCATTGAGACTGCTGCTGCGGAGGGTCTGGGGGACGTGGCTTTCTGTTTGCTGTTTTCTGGTTCTACAGAGCAGGAAGGAACATTCCAAGGCAGGGACAGTGGACACCGAGGAAGCCAACTGGACAGTTTCCACCAGAGTAGTCAACCTAATGCCTGCTCTCTTGAAAACCCAAGGCAAGCACTCTGAAAAGAAGGCCTTGATTCTGGAGTGGCTCTTTAAAAGGTTTTTATTAGCGTAGGAACAACTCACAGCATACAGTTGTGTTTTCACAAACACACACACGGACACCATGTCCCTCAAGAATCACTGAGGTATTTCGTCGTGGAGTTGAGAATTTCTAGTCCATGAAGCTCTCTCAGTTGATCAGTAAACCTGTCACAACCAGAACACACAATCTGGGACATGAGTGCCATGGTCTGGGCTTCTGAAGCCCAGAGCCACCCCGCTTAGACACGAGGTGGCTGGGAACATCGGTCCTGCCACCCTAGGGGGAAAGAAGTAGTTGTGGCACCGGGAGCCCTAAAGTTCATACGGGGAAAGAAGGCCTGAGGGAGGCTCACAAAACACTGGGAACACGCCTGCTGTGGGCGGGTGGCAGCGTCAGACGGCCCAGATGGGAGGTCCCCCTTGGAAGGACCCAGTAGGGTGCCACTTTGAGCTCATCCTAGCGAATGTGCCTTGCTTTCTGTGGAAGAAGGATTTTATCTATTCTTTCCATTTGAACAATCAGATAGAACTTGAAAGGACCTGAGGCCACTGTCACCCTCTACAAGGTGTCAAAGGCCTGCACGTGTGTGAGGGAGGAGCATCTTCCCCTGTCCCCAAAGCCTATGCCCCTGCCCCTAGGCCAGGGAGATGGCTCAGCCGTGAGCACCTGCCAGAAGCACGTTTTTAGGTGCATGAGAATAGAGCAGAGCAGGAGTCTGGGCCGGCAGAGCAGCACTGCACAGCTCCCGCACAGTCCCCGCCTGGCCCACGGCCACCACTGCTCTGCTTCTCTTTTCTGTTTTCTCCAGCATGGACACGTCACCCTCACTGGACATGCCTCCATTTGTGTGGGTCCAGGCAACAACAAAAATGAATTGGGGGCCTGTTTCAGGAAAAGTAAAGAGACAGGAGAAAGAGAGAAGGGGAGATAGAGTGAGAGGGAGAGGAAGGAGGAGAAAGAGAAGGAAGAAGGATGCAGGAGAATGGGACGGAGAGAAGACAATGGCAGTTTGTGCCTGGAATGACTTGCTGTCAGAAAAGCTGGTTCCCTCCCTTGGCTGGAGCTTGAGAACCCCCCAGTTCCATCTAGGAATGGGAAGCAGCTGCTGGTCCCATCCCGGGCCCACCCCACAGGCACCCACAGAGGGCCACTCACAGAGTGCTGAGCAGCACACAAGCCCGGCCAAAACACCTTGGTTAAGACACTTGCTCTGAGAGGTGACCAACAGGGGCCCGCCTGGCTTGGTGGCTGCAGCATACCTGGGCTCAGCCGTGCACAGCTTGCCGAGAGCGATGCCTGCGTTCAGCTGCACAGCTGTATTCTTCGAATCACCACCCGAGAGCTTTAATAAGACCTGCACAATGTCTGTCTTCAGCAGGGAAGATGCGACCCTGGGCACCTCCATGCAGTTACCCAGGCAGAGGGCGGCATTGCCCACCAGAACCTCGTCTGCCGAGTAGAGCAGCTTCCTCAAGATGCTAAAGTCTGTAGCAAAGGCAGAGAACAGGTAACAGTTCCTCCCGATCTCCCACCAGGAGGCTGGAAAGGGGCCCAGAGGTGTCAGGAAATGCCGTGCTCCCCTGGGAACTCTGCGGAAGGACATGTCTGCTCAATCATTCAGCACGTGCTCACTGAATGCTGAGAACCTGCTTGACCCCTTGCTGTGTCGCTGAAGTATCTCAGGTGCCCAGGACAGTGCACAGCAAACACAGCTGGGACGTGAATGAACACTATGTGGCAGACAGGGGTCTTCTCAGAAGTCCCCGTTCTGAACCTCTACTCTCCAGCAGGGAGAGGTCCCACCTGACAGCCCCCACGTGGGAGGCAACGTGCTGGCACTCTGCACTGTAGGGCAAGGAAAAGGATGAGAAAAAAGGCTCCTGCTTCCACGGCAGAGCCCCTTAGTTCACCAGAGAGTGGTGAGAAGTCAGCAGACGGCCTCAGCCAGGACCTGCTGCGCGTTATGAGGGCCGGTGACCGGCTTAGCGCCAGGCTCAGACTCTCATATTCATTTCCCTTGCTCACTAAAGGCAGAAGGGGTTTGTATTTTGTTTTCTTCCCCTCTTCCTGGGTCACTGTAAGCAGAATGCGTGGTGAGAAGAGGGCGTTTCCTAGCTTTCGCCCTGTTATGTTTGAGTGGGCTGTCAGCTGGGTCTCCAGCGTGGGCCTTCGACCTGGGTGCAGAGGAAAGGCTAATTAAACGCTCTCAGATCTGGAGGTGAAAGGCTCCCTTGTTCTGCAAACTGCTGAAGTCTGGGGAGAGGTTAAGCAGCATTACTGCTAAGTCCCTCCTCCTCCCCTGGCAGCTTCCCTTTGCGGCTTTGAGGATGGCTTAACTCTGGGGTGTGGGCTCCCTTAAGGAGGCTGTCACTTACTTTTATCCAGCCTTATCACTTCTGCCCGCGCTTCGTGGTAACTGTTAGTGCAGACAGCCAGTATCTTTATGGCGTAACGTGATGCAGTCTGGCCTCCTGTCTTTCAGAACGAAATTAGAAACGTGAAATCAGGCTCCATGCCTATAGCTCAGTGGCTAGGGCACCAGCCAAATACACCAGAGCTGGCGGGTTTGAATCCAGCCCAGGCCTGCTGAACAACGACAAGTACAACCAGAAAGTAGCTAGGCATTGTGGAGGGCGCCTGTAGTCCCAGCCACTTGCGAGGCTGAGGCAAGAGAATCTCTTAAGCCCAAGGGTTGGAGATTGCTGTGAGCTGTGATGCCACAGCACTCTACTGAGGGCAATGCAGTGAGACTCTGTCTCAAAAAAAAAAAAAGAAATGTGAAATCAGTACTCTGATTATTTTTGATCAGAAACCACAGCGAGCAGTTTTGACCGTGCTAGTGCCTTCCTAAACTTCCAGAATCAAACCCACCAGGAGTGGCACACGCTTCCTGGTGGGCTGGCCCGGTCCCTGCAGGGATGGGGTGTCACTCGCACCATCTTAACACAGCCCACGTCCCAGACATGGATTTCAGGCCTGTCACATACACCTGAGTAATTACCTCTGGAAGCCTCTATGAGCAAGTGGCTGAGAAGAGAGTGATGCTGATGACTGGCAGATCTACCAAAATGAGGAGGAAAAGGCCCTCTATGACATTTTACTGTTTGAGAACGAGGCTGACTTGCTAGGGCCGTCAGGCTGTTCTCCAGCCTGGAGAACATCAGGAACCGAGACCATCTTAAAAGGGGCAACTGCCAAATCATCACCCTTACGATGACCCAATGTGGGGTCTTTAAAAGGCATGTGTGCTTATGTGCACACATGATGTGTGTGTGCCAGCCATCTGCAGCCTTGCGTGGGTTTGCAAAAGTTGTGCCAAGTGAATGACAGTCATCTTCCAAGTGGGGGTTTAAACGCCACCCTGCCGGGCTGCCCTGCAGTCTTACCCCCATCCCAGCAGCAGCCCCAGAGCACGCTGCCTGTCCCATTCAGCATGGGGCTTTGTGAACAAGACTAGTGGCAGCGCCACACCAACTTGGTGAGTGGGCCTCCCCTGGCAGGACACCACAGGAAGGACCCAGAGATGACAGCCTGATGGTTCCTCCCACACTTTCTGCTGAGTCCAGTGAGCTGCTGTACTGACTCCCAGGGACTCAGCACAGTCATTTCAGAGGGAAACCCCAACATCCTTTGGTCACATGGGAACTTTACAGCCTGTATATTGTGTAGGAATTTTGGAGTTATATCCAACACGCTCCAGATAACTGTATGATGCAGCAAAAGTGGGAAAACATGAGCAAAATAATGCACCTGAGCAGCCTAGCACAGAGCCACCCGTAGCACGCGCCTGAGTGACTGAGCACAGAGCCACCC